AGAAACCTAAGAGCTTGAATATTCCCTCTGCACCAACAGAAGCACTTCAGTTTTGAGACACTTTACTGCAAGAAGATGAGACAATACAAGTAACACACTTAATGAAAGATAGCAGAAAAGGCACTGCAGATGTCAAGTAATTTCTCCATATGAAGTGATTTTGAGACAAAAAACTTACTCGACCTGAAAGCAAATATACATTTAGCTAAATATTTGGCTTCCTAAAGTAAATGAAAATGTTTGGTATAAGTTTAAGGAGTACAATATATAAGTGATTGTGAAGCGCTGAAACGAAAAATCTATGATCAGAGTGTGAAAATAAAATTGACTATGACAGATCTGTTTTCATACCACAAATATCAAATGTATTTTTAGTTTTTAAATTTTTAGCATGTTGATTCTAAATGGGGAAAAACATTACCTGTGGAACTTGTGGGCTTCTTGAACTACTGATAATTTATTCAGCATAGAAAGCTCTGGAGAATAATTACATAAGGTTTGCCTTTCATTTGCTCTAAAAACATTAAACATGAGAGATTAAAGTTGCTCATCCTAAGTTACTTCATATTTTCAGAAAGAACAAATAAAAAAAGAACAGACCATACTATTATGCATTTGCTGGTAACAATAACCAACACATTGATCATAAATAACAAAGGTTCAATTCAGTGATCTAAGAACATAATCCAGACAAAAGCATAAAAGACAGCAAATGATGTAATTTGATTAGCTTTAGGGTTTTACAAAGCAAATTTCATCATCAGTCTCAATTTGGCATTTAAAAGAATGCTTAAAGCAGTTTGGTTTTTCAGCTGTCGCTTCTGGAGTACTTTTTCACAGACATGTCTAGCCAGCTTCATGTATTTTCTGAAGTATTAATGACTAGAAAATCAGAGTCTACAAACTAATTTTATAAGGTAAATATTTAAATCTCAACAACAATTCTAGTCATATTAAGTTTTAGTTTTAACCTACTAACAATATAGAGTTTCCTGAGTACATGGAAGAAGAGAAGAAAGAAAATCCCAACCATATTTTACTTTATTTTTCTGAAGGCTAAGGAAGTCAGGAAGCTCAACAGGAAACATATAGGACTAATTACTGTTATTTAAATATGTAATCTGATAGACAGCATCAACACACATTTTAAGAGAAAACATTCAGATCCAAATGCTCTCAACTACAAGGTGCAGATATTAACAGATACAAGTAATGTAAATTTCACATACAGATTTGCATATTCACTGCTTTTCAAAAAGAAAGGGAATTTTGTTTCATTGATAATCAAGCTGTCTTTCTCAGTTTCCAGGAGCTGCTTTTGATCTGACCAGCTAGTTCCAACCAAACCTGGGGTAAAAAAGGTATGTTTTGGTTATAACTCTGCAAGAAAGGGAAAAAGGGACGCTGCTATGTAGTGCATAAGGAAGCAAAAGCTTCAGAGACTGTTCAGTCATCAGTATGGCTGCCAGGTCACCTGTCAATAAGCCATAAGTGATCTAAACCTTGTGCTGCTTCTTGTTCTGGCATCACTTCAAATGCCCAGAATGAACCTGGGCTTACTGCTAAGTTACAAGGAAGAAAAGACCAAAAAATGTGATCAAGCATCATACTTCACTTTTTGAAAAACAACTTAAGCCTTACTAATGGCCACAAATTTAAAAAAAAAAAAAACAAAAAAGCCTTTGTTTTTCTTTGTACTTTACAAACAACAACAAAAAGAAACAAAAAACCTACAACAAAAAATTGAGTCAAGCATAAAATGACAATTACAAACCACTTCCATTAGCTTCATTCAGTGGCTAAGATGGCACCATTCAATTAACATGTTTATTATTTTTTTCTCATCTGAAGACATGAATTAAGTTGTCATTTACTACAACTAAGGATGGCAACTGATCCTTTCCAAGGAGTATCTATATATTGTCCTAGACTCGGTACAAGGTCCTTGTTATTAGTAATAACCCTATCCTCACAACATCCTCTCACTAAACAGTTCTGCCCCATTTTACAACCTGAAAATAGAGGTGCAGAGAGGTTAATGAACAACCACCACCAGTTTTGGTATAATCAAGGTAAATTTTTTTTCCAACGACTTCATACCATACAGAGCTACCTGAGTTTGAAACAGCTCCCCTTGACTTTGGTAAAAACTGTGACCGCTAGCCACTTTTGCACATCAAACTCAATAACCTGACACCATGAACAATAATTATAAACAGAGTTTATAATGCCAACAAAAATAACTGCATTAAAATCCTTTTAACTCTGGCATAACATGGTAGCACAGGATTTCCACAAATGTAGCCCTCTTTCTTTTAGGAAATGGGGGAGGAATGGCCCTTTAAACATACTCATGATAAACAGCTATTTATGTCTAGTAAAGCATTCCAGTGATCAGTTAGTCCAGTAAGAACATGCCCCTTATTTGAAGTCTGAACTTGCTTAATTCAGGTTCCAGCCACAGAATTGTGGTACACCTGCATCAGCCAAAGAGAGCTTTTATCAAATATCTCTTCACAGAGTAGGTGGATATTGACCAATGAAGAAGCCCTTAACATTTTCTTACCTAAGCTAAACAAAGCAAGCACCTTATGTCTTCTTTACTAAGACTGGTCTCCCCCATTCATTTTCGAGGCTGTTCTCTGGAAGCTGCTTTTTCACCACCCTCTCTGGACTGTCAGTGGCAGATGTACTGCTCCAAGAAGAGTTATGGCTGATACCTCCTAAATTCCAGTTCCCTTGTTCAACTACTCAAAGTTTTTCACCAGACCTTTAGCTAAAGCCAAAAGGATTGACTTCAAGTTCAAATCCTATCAGCCTCAGACAGAGTCTCCCCAGTTGTTGCCCAACTTAGTATTTAGTTGCACTGACTGTGCCATGAATGTTACATTCATGTGTCCAATTCATTAGTGATCTAAATCACCTTGCAACCTTACTAACGTCCTTAATCCCAAATTTATATTTATTATTTTCTAGGTAAATAAAAACATCTGAAACAATGCCAACATAGTTATTTACAGTGAGAAGCTCAGATACTCTGTAAGGGAAGTTAATGCAACACATGAACAGCAGACTGATTTTGCAGAATGTGCCAACACTTGCAGATGTACAACATTGGATTCTGCATGTTAGCCAGACAGCCTTGCCTAGAAATCCATGTTTGCAAGAACCCAAATCTCTAGCTCAACCCCTCCTAGAATTCTTAATTAATAGGACTTACTAGAGTTTATTTTGCAACACAAATTTTAATAAATCTTTGAAATACCCTAGAACCAGCCAACAAGTAATGTTTGTTAAAGTTGATAAATGAAAAGAGTGGTTTTGCATTTAATAAACTGAAAAATCTAATCAATGGTTGCTTTAAAAACATATGAGCTTTCAGTTTGTGTATTCACATGTAATTGCATGGCTTTTTAAAGATTTTATTTAAAAGGTAAGATATACCACAGACCAATTCAAAAAGTCAAAGGCCGTAATCAAAGCACAAGTTCCTGCCAAAAATCCCAGAACTCCTTACTGAAGTGTTCACAGTGGGAAAAAACCTCAACATCAGATACTGAAAATGTCACAAAGCAAACATGTCAGCTTTAACATGATGAAACCTCTAAATGTTAGAGCTTTATATTCTGTTTATGTAAGAAGAATTAAGATCACACTCTTAGGCTACTTCATACTGTCCAATTTTAAGACTTTCATGCATATCAAAACTGTTCTCTGACTAAGAAGGAGAGCAGCCTGAAATGTCAGAGGTTCAAATCCAGCTCAGCTTCACCATTTCAGTGAAGATGGAAGGCAGGGCAGGGGCTGTCTAAAGGAGAAGAAAATGGAGAAATAGAGAAAAATAGTATTTTCTCATAAAACTTCTCCCCTTTCTCAAAAGACTGAATAATATTGTCTCAGAATACCAGAGTGTACATGCTTACACACCATTCTTTCCTGGCTTTATAAACAGACATTATATACATTACTGGGTGCACTGACTAAGATGCTAACTTTTGTACATTTTGAACTTCAAAGGCACTTTAGCAGGGTTTAATCTTCTCCATCAGAAGTCTTTAGAAGTCATCTGGGAGAAGGAAATCCATTCCTCCTAAGTTACTTCAGCCAGTTCCACACTTCCTATTTCTAATGTGATAGCTTCTGTGACCTCAGGAGCATCAGAGTGAAAAAGGCCCCTCCAGTCTTACTCACATTCTTACCACAGCTTCTCTCTTACATTGGAGCAATGAGTAGGTTACCCATACCAGGAAATACTTGAAAGAGTTGAGTTTCAAAGATACCTTTAGAAATTACCCTTTGTGGATCACCTAGTGAACACACACACAAATACACACACATATACACAGTTTACATATTCTAAAGCACTTTTCAATCAGGTCTACCCAGTCCTTACACTGAGTGTCCACATCTTCCTTTGCATTTCATCGGCAAGTCTACAGACAAGGATTTGCTGAGCTGTTGCCTTCCCTTCTGCAGGAATTAGCATACATTATCAGCTTCAAAAGGAATTTACATTGTTCCAGAGCACAGGCCTTCTTGAGATTCTATTAACTTAAGTAAAAGAAACAGAGGCAAAAAAAATCTTCACCTACCCAGAATATGCATTAGGTAGAGTGACAATGCAGCACAAAGGAACCATCAGGATAAACAGTATTTAATGGCAAGAAAATATAGGCTTTAAGGAAAAAAACAATGAAAAAAAAAAGAAAAGTGCTGAGAAACATATGGAGACTCTAGTAATTTCTTATTTAAAGTCAAAAATTAACAAAACAAAATAAAATAACTTCTAAGACATTTTAAAAAACAAACAAAAACCTCACAGAATGAACACACCAAGCAGAACCATTACTGTTCTTCTACTGCCCAACTATATTCCAACTGGTACCTGCTTAAAGATTCCTGCTAGAATCATTGTCTGGTTTCTGTCTTCCTGTCATTTTCCTTCATCTCTACTACTTGATACTGTAAGGCAAAAACTGAGAAAAGGAGGAAGAACTTACTGGTATTGAGAACTCCTCTGCCAAATACTTCAGCACTGATGCTCCTCTTGTCAAAAAGTTACTTCTCTCTGCTAGATTGCCCTGGAGTTTTGTATCAAACTCCTTTCTGACAACTGAAGCAACAGAGTCAATTATTATAAGTTTAACTTTCTTTGAAATAATTTCTTCTTCCAAAGACATAATCCTAAAAAAAAAAAAAGAGTCACTGATAGCATTATTTACACAATAGAACCATTTTATAACACTGAAATTTGTAAAATAAACATTCCTTTAATAAGCTTAAAGTCATTCCCTCTTTTTCCCTCCTCACACACCCTGTCCATTAACATCTGCATGTATTAAATAGATTTGGAAAGGAGTCTGAGGCTCAGTAGGCCCAGGGTAGGACCTTTCCACAAGAGAGTTTTGGAAGACCTCTAGCTAGCAACAATATGCTGTACAACCCCTGAATGGCAGACAGCAAGTAAAGTGGGCATTGAAACCGTGCCTCACTGAGGTCTTCCAGTTCTTCAAGGGGATTTATAAGTAAGAGAGTGACTTTCTACATGGGCACATAGTGATAGGAAAAGAGAAAATGGCTTTAAATCAAAAAAAGAGAGATTTAGATTAGAAGTCAGAAAGAAATATTTTATTCAGTGGGTAGTCTGGTAGAAGAAATACTTTATTCACTGGCACAGGTGCCCAGAGAAGCTGTAGATGCCCCATTCCTGAAAATGTTCACTGACAAGTTGGATGGGGCCCTGAACAACCTGACCAAGTGGGTGCTATCCCTGCCTGTGATGGGAGGTTTGGAACTAGATGATCTTTAAGCTCTCTTACAACTCAAGCTATTCCATGTTTCTTTAATATGCTACTAGCTCTTCTCCGATAAAGCTGTATTAGAAGAAAAAATTATTCTGATAATAATTCCCCCACTAACATAAAACACACAACATGATTTTCATGTTAATTTTCATTGCAACATATGTTCACTAATTAATATAAGGTAACAACATGACAATAGAACACTGTACTTAGGCTGGTGACTGCTGAACAACTCCCTCCCACTGCTGGAGGGATCTCCATCTTCCTGGAAGTAAAATGCTTTGGAAGAACAAACTTCTATTTCATGGAAAATGTAACTCTTATACTATGGTCTCTCCACAATCAAAGAGAATACCTGTCTCATGAACATTCCCCTTTAAAGGCTTACAAGGATCAGATCACATAGAAATGGTCTATCAGAAATTAAAAACCATCAAGTGGATTAGTCACATGCTATGAAATGAAATGAGCAATGTCAATCTCTCTGTAGCAGCGTTACTTTGTTGGAGACCATGCTGGTATCCACATGAAAAGGTCTCAAACTAATTACTCTTCATAAAAGCTTGATACAAAAAAAAAATTGTTATAGACAATTCAGTCAAAATTGTCTTTTCTTTTCTTAAACTGTGGAAAATAATACCTCTTCAGTACACTGCAACAGGTGAGCTCTCGGTACAGGTGGATGCTACGGGTCATGCAGAGCAGCTTCTCATCTGAGTCAAAATAAGCAGGGAATCTCTTCGCTGCCATCTCAATCAACCTATTAAAAAAAACAAAAAAAAAACAAACAAAAAAAACAAACAAAAAAAAATTGAAGGCATAGTACTGCAAAAAGAATAATGCAAGATAATAAGGTATCAAGTGCTCAGAAAGCAAACACAGCAAAGCTCTGAACCATAAGCAGATACCAACTAAGACTGGAAATCTTTTTAAAAGGAAAAGCATGTTTTATCAGATTGAAACAGTGGAAGTGAGAACAGTTAGGTTCTCTTTCCAGTGATACTGAATCAGTGGTACACTAGGGAAAGATATGTGTCTGTATGCAAAGAAAGGGAAGGGCATATCTCCTCTGGAAGGAAAGTTTACTTACTAAGTTCTTCAAGTTTTATACCAGAGATTCCACTCAACGACCAATAATTTTCCTGTTATAATTATTTTATCTAGATATTAATTTCTTTTAACTAAAACTACTCTCCAACTCTTAACCATCCTCCTTTTCACCTTTATCTTGCAGTGAAATGATGGCTTTGTGCCACCACAGAAATGCAACAAGCTGGTAAGAAACAGAAGATCCAATCAACATGGAAGCAGGACTGCAAATAACAGAGCCCAGTTCAACTCCAAGTACTTAAGCAAGCAGTACATGTATGGAAAATATGCCTGACAAGGTAAAAATCTTTGCACAGATATATCTCCTTAAAAACACAAACAATGTCATTTGGATTAGAGACTTTCACTGAAACAGCTTCTAGTTTATATTACCTATTTATAAAAAGGGCTTACAAAATCTGATTAAAATATACTTGTTAGAACACAGGAAGAAAAAATTAAAAGTTAAACCACTGGGTCACAAAGTGACTGAGAGTCCAGGTGCAAAGGCATCTACAACTGAACATCCATTCATTCAGGTGAAACAGCTACAAATAACATGATGTAACAAAAAGATTGAACAGTTGAAGTGGCTCCTTTACTGATAGAACTGAATGTGGGGTTCCAGGACTAAATGTTCTCCACTACCTTATCAGGAAATTCATAACCCATCAAAACCTTGAATTATAATTGCTAACCATACCACTGGTTATTATCAGAGTAGACTAAGGAAGTATAAAACAGGTGATAACACCAAAAGAAGTCAGAAGGAGCTGGATATTTATTATTTTAAGTCAAAATACCTTCATAATCAGAAATTATAACTTGGGGAAAAAATCTTTCACACAGATGTAAAACTAAACAGTTTTCAATTAAATTATATTTTATACATAAAATCATAGAGGAAATTAAATAGTATTCATTTTAGAAATGCTGAATGCCTATAAATTCCTCAGAAATCACTGGACAGCAGTTGCACTCCTCTGACCACAAGGCAATTTCACCTACATCCTTAAAGAGATGATCCAAGAATTTTACTTTGAAACTTGTAGTTACAATCTACATGGAAAATTTTCTCCACAATGAAGACTTTAATTTTTAGTAACAAAAAATACTTAATTGTTCATGTTTTAAGCAAACATATCCTACCTATAACTTGAGAAGAGTGGCATCTAGTGGATTATACTTGTGGGCACAACTTACTTGTTATCTCTTTAAATTTAAGTTCCTTTCATTAATACACAAAGCGATTTCAGGTAAAACAAATTTTAAATCAGTTTAGAAAGAGAACTCAGGAGATTTTGAGGCAACATCTTGTTCAAAGCACTGCCAGCTATGAAGTTGGAGCAAGTTACTTGAGTCTTTTATCTATTTCAGAAGCCTTCAAGGATGGAGGCGGCACCACCTCTCCGGGCAAAGCTTTTTTCACCACAAAGGCAGTTAGGAATTGTAAAGCTTCTCATATCTCAGCCCAGAAATGAAGCTCACTGTATTGCCTGCTGTCTCCCAGCACACACCACCTTGGGAAAAGGGGATATGCATCTCTCTGGCCCTGATGGTTCAGCTCCTTAGAGGATACAATACAGAAAGTATATATATATATAGTCAGTCTGCTGAAATTGCATTTATAATATGCACCTGAGCAATACTAAATATGATTTAATACATAAATATTCTCATCCTTAATAATAATATTTTTTTTCATCGTGTTTCCTTTCTATATCCTATTCTATTTTCAGCAGTTTCAGTTTCATCTGCATCTGCCTTCCTTTTCTTTAGCACTCATTTCTAGGTGACAAGTCTTAACTCACTCTTTAGGTCCTACCTTTTTTTACTACTTACATGTCAGGGACCCAAAATCAAACTTAAGTGGTGTGTAAGAAGGAAGCACTGTACTTTGCAAAGCCATTGCTTGAAGCTTTTTTCTTTGATATACTATACTTCAAACTTTTATGACATTAACTTGACAAAAAGCAGGTTTAGAAATCCCACTTTGTCATCCATGATAAGTTGCAACGAATAATCAATGGAAATACATTTACTTTGATACTTTGTGCCATTGTGCCATAGCTATAGCTACTAAATCACCTGAAATATATAAATTATAGATATAATATAAATTATATAATAAATAATATTATATATTATATAATATATATTTAATTGAACAAAGAGCTTCATATGAACCTCTTTCTGCCCATTTTTCTACACAAACAAGGATAAGACTACTGTACTTCTTATCCTTCCCCAGACCCTTAACAACTTTTGAACTTGCTCATTCCAAACAACAGGGACAAAGGATTAGAAATCCCAAGAACATCAAAGCTGCAAAGTTTAGCAAATTTGGTAACTAAGTGAAATAAATTAGAGGTACATTTAATGAAACACTGCAGGATTATTTCAACAGTTAATCAGACAATTGAGTGGCAACCAACATGTGTAACTCTCAAGCAATCCAGCACTCAAACACAGGAATGTCTCCTGTCCGTTCAGCACTCAAACACAGCAAAGTGCACAGCTGAGCCATTTGGGTTGCATGGGCCAAGTGGGAGAGATCAGAAGAACCAGAGATGTTATAGAAATAAGGTAATACAGTACTGCATAGCTGCTAAGGATATAGGAGATGCAAGGTTACTGCAGAAGGGAATCAGAAATGCAGGAAAGCATGACATCCCATTCAACAGAAGTAGGATAGGAATCTAAAGGAAAACTGGCAATGTCAGTCCCACAGTTCACTGGAAAACCTCTGCTGCCATTGTAGACAAAATGTTGGGCCTTTACATCTCCTAATTAACATCCTGATAACTCCACAAACCAAACTGCAAAACAAAGTTTCAGATACAGGATTGGTAAGACCATTTAAAAATTAAAAATCATGCCATCCACCTTGTCATGCCAGAACTGGAATCTACAGCCTCATACAAATAAGGCACATGAGCAAACCATTTTATTAAATTAATTTCGTTGTCTGTAGAGTAACTGCATGTACTAGAGGAATGTTTAATAATTACCACCAGTATTTAAAAATGCACAATTATTGCTCAGAAAATAATTGAAGGTTCAAGGTTCCAAGCTAAAAGGCTCTAAGAAGTTCTGTGTATTTTAGAAGTTTGCATCTTACCTTTCAGCACTGAATGCAGACTCCGTGTCAATGTATATAACAGCCCCATCTAGTCCTCCCATGCTTATAGGCAGTGTAGCCAGAACACTCAACATAATACAAAATTGAGTTTTTCCACAACCTGGTGGGCTAGTTATCTGGAAGGAAAAAGATTAGCAACATAACATTCATTTCACCATAATTCTAATTTTATCTAAGTCAATTCAGTCAGTGTTCCCCCAATTCTGCTCTTCCAGTTACCGAAGGAGATGACAGTCATGAAAAGACAGAACGCAGCCCAGAAAGACCAACTTGCAGTTACTCTTGGATCTGTACCTTGCATACAAATTCATCCCTTGAAGAATTAAAAAGCTTTTCAGACAGAGCATTATCCTTATACTTTATTTCTTTGACATCATTATTACCTTTCAAATTTGAGGTCCTCTACTCTCCCCCTCACCACACAAGATCTTCCCTAGAGACACCTAGCTCTCTTCCATCTGTTTCTGTGCTACCTTCTAAAACAGAGCAGAATTAAAAGATTCACAGATGACATTCACATGTCATCAATGGCTTTTAGAGCTGCAAATTAAGTCCAGAGCTAATGAGCTCACATACATAAACATATCCTTATCAATCATCTTTATCCTGGTTAAAACAGGTCTCTCCTAGAGATCACAAAGATAATTGCTTATATACTATAAAGACTGAATGTTCAATATGAACCACATATATACATAAAACAGATTTTATCCACTCCAGAGACTACACCCTGCAGTATGTGTTTTTTCATTGGTGTTAACTCCCTACTACCATATTTCAACACCAACACCATTCAGTGATCCAGACCAGCTCCCCACTTCTAAGCTTCCACCTGTGCTCACAGAAAGCCCCTGTGGTGAAGTAGCATTCAAGGGAAGCACGTTCAGCTTGTATGAAAAGGCTCCAGTATGATTCTGAAGAGAAAAACCACCAGGATCCAAAGAACACATTGTTTGATGGCATCACCAGTTTCTGAGAGCAGTATTTTTCTACTAGAGATGACAGTCTGCTGTTCTTTATCCACTGCAGATCTTCCAGAGATTGTGTCAGAATGCTGGGCTCTGTGTTCAGATGATTGCAAGTTCATTACTACTACAGCGGGTCTGTCGTTCTATTAGGAACGGCGAAAAGAACGACACAGACTTTCAAGGGAGTCAGAACAGGAGAAAATCCCTAGTTTATTGCTTCAGCCTTGTTTTATAGACTGGTTCGTGGAAAGTACAGAAAAGAAACTCTTATTGGTTAGTAAACTGCTACATCACCATCATTGGTCAGTGGTGAACAACACCCTCTGACTTTCTCTTGCAAAGACAACAAGAGACAGGAAAACAGCACCTGGCAGTTGTTTTCTGTCTCTAAGAATTGTTTTGATTCCTCCTTAAAACTTCCCAGGCTACTTTCTCAGGCTGGACTTGAGAAAGCTATGGGGCCTGCAGTTTCTGCAGGCTCCCTGCAGCCTGCTCCAAAGCTAGCATGGGTCTTTAAATACAGTATCACGTTGTCACTGCTTCTGGGAAGGGAGATGAAATTGTAAATACTAGGAGCGCCAAAAAGCAGCAAAAACAAAGTCAAATTGACTTTAGGCAGTGAAAACAGAGTGATGGGTTCGTTCTTACACTGGTAGCAACAAACTAATAATGCAAGTTTAAAAGCAAGCCTCTCCAGGGAAGTTGAACTGTAAATCAAAACATGGTGTCTCAAAACACCTAGTACTGCCACAACAAAGGCCTAAATAGAGAGCTATTGTTTTAAATTTAAAAACAAACTTTACAGTAGACAGACAGTCAAAATCAAACTGATTTTTGAGATTGCATGCACAATAGTTTGGTTTCAAGCAGAAACACTCACCACAAGATATTGCACTATTGCTATGGTTTTGATTCAAGCAGTAGCAGTATGACTTGAAGCACAGAAAATTTACAGGGAAACACCGAAGGATCACATTATCTACAGTTAACAGTTGGTTAAAACCCCTTTAATCACCTTTGTCTTTAAACAAGGCCTGAAAGTCAAGCTATATCAATCACTCTATTTGAAGCTTTAATGCAAGAGAAGCATGAAGTGATTTTTGTTTAGAAGCACACACTGCATTTAGTGAATTACAGATCAGGAATCAGTCATATTCATGCAATTATCTGTTCCTCAGCCAGTGTACTTCAATTGCAAACTATCATATCAGCAAGATCTGCTACAATTTAATGTGAACCCAAAGCATATACAAAAAATGCAGAGGCAATACACATTCCTTAGACTGTGACAGCCAATGAATCTCACCAGTTGTTTCTTGTTAAAAAGAAGACTTGAAATGAATGAGGGGAGGGCATCAATCCAGTTTGTTAAATTAAAATGTTTGGACAACTGTGAGGATACTTCATAAAAACATTGGTAGTTTCAGCCTTGCCTGGGAGGTGCACTGGAACCAACATCCATTTCAGTGGCTGACACAGAAGCTAATTCAGCAGAGATGCTATAAAAATTTCTGAGGATATGAGCATCATATCAGAAAAAACGAGGGGACAGTACAAGCAGTACAAGGAAGCAAGCCAATGGAGCAAGAAAGCATTCCTACTCCCAAAAACAACAATGCTTCATGTTTAATCTGCTTTGTTTTAAAAGGGCCTTAAAACTGGCTTTTAAATAATCCACAGTGAACAATTTTACAAAACTACAACATATTATTGTAGTTACCACTGGTTCAGCAAGTGATTAGAACAACAGAATCCTACTTGAGATTCCTCTAATAAATTTAAATTGAATGTCTGAAAAAAATTTGTTTGGTTTGTTTTACTCCAAATTTGCTCTGAAAAAAAAATCACCGAGATAGAAACATGACGACCACAACCGTTTTTAAAAGTATGTTTTATTTGGCAGAGATAAATTATTTTTCAGTAAGTTATATACTATTTTCTCTGGCACATCTGAAGGGTTTGGATGAAATCACAAGGACTTAATTCTTCATCTACCAGAAGATTAAACTCTTCAATACTCAGAAAAAGGAACTATTTTAATTTTTCCTCATAAAACTAGGCCAAAAGCTCTGACCACAGAATTTCAGCTACGATTTAGTCTCCAATTTAAAAACTAATAGTTTAGTCTTAGAAAAAAAGTGGTCTGAGACAGAGTAATGCAAATCAAATCCCTCTAGCACTCAAAAAGCAAGAAGATTTGGCTGTAGAATATACCACCACAAGTCTTCATCCTTCTGACCAGGTATTCAAATACCAAGTTTCCAGCCGCCCTCACTGCTGGGTAAAGTAACAGAAAGACAATGATTTAGCCCTACCAGTCAGGAAGTAAATTCTGCACCCAGCATGCTTTTGAAGAGAACTTCTCTCAGACTTAAATTAGCTGTCTAATTCAAAAATGCCAAAAGACAATCTACTTGTTAGCTATGCTCCAGTGAATCGTAATAAAAGCAAATTAAAATTGTTAAACCCCAGTATCACTCAAATAAAAAAAAAAAAAACCAACACAAAAAACAAAATTAAAAAACTTGGAAATGCTCACAAGCTGCAGTAGAGCATAAAAGCAGCAAAAGCACAGCATCAAACCAGCAGCATCAGCAAACTGATAGCTTCCTACTAAAATTTAAATATAGCAATTCTGATGAACATAGAGTGCTGCCAACCTTTTAAATTACTTCAGATCTCAAGACTCTTGCAAAAATACATTTTAAAATCCCTATAGCCAGGCTTTAAAATAAAAGAAAAACAGTTTCTGTATAGTTAATGGTCATCTGCCTTTTCATCTGCTGAAAAACCCCTAATAGGTGCCCTAACTGCCTTCCACACTTAGTACCTAAAAGACAAGTAAAAAGCAATACACTTTTATTTTTTCTTGAAAATATGTATTATTATGGGTTATTCATCACATTTCTGGATCCTACCTAGTTACCTCTATATTATTTCTGACTAAATAGTTATGTACCAGTCATCAACCAAGCCCAAGGTGCAGGTACAAGGACACAGTGCTTGCAGTTCTGATCTCATCCATTACATGTCTTGTACAGATATCAACATCTCCCTCCCTTGGTGAGCTCTCCCATTGTAGAGAACTGCACCAGGCAGGTCTTCTCATTTTTAACCAAAATATCTTTGAATACAAAAATAGTCACATTCAAAGCTTTTTTTGCAGAAGAAAACCTAAAAGTGCAGTGTTACCTTTCCTGGTGCTGTGCTTTTCATTTACATTCAGATAAAAGTTTGGCCTATCACTGAATATATTCATTCCCCCTCAACTAACTTTTGATACAGTAATACCCAGGGACTATGACTATTCTTAAACTGCAGTTTCTCAACAGTTACTCATGCTTTCTTATACTTAAAGGCTAAATATTGTAAGAAAACATTGGGGGGGGAATATTAAAATTGGGTATTGTGATTACTAACCAGGGTAAGCTGTGTACAAAATATATAGCTCTGGAAAATTAAGCACATACATTAACTTCTTGTAGAACATTATTTTATATCATCTCAGGAAAATTGTATTTGACATCCATACTTTGAGATCAACTGATTGCAGAGTTTACTTTTAAATAAAATGTAAAACAAAAAAAACATAAAGCTTAAAGGTCAGCTAAACTCCCCTAAAGGTCCCAGCATGTTAACCACTTTTTTTCCCCAGATCTTGCTCTGGAGCAATGCCAAGAAAATGGCACTCAGCAAGCCTGAATTCTGTTACTGCTCTAGAGCCACTCTACCTGGTCTTCAGGTAAGAACACATCAGACAGACTGCACTGATTGCTAAATGACAACTCCATTTAGGATTAAGAACAAAGACAAATATTTATGACACTGTTACCAGCTGCCTTGTAAACTAACCATGTGGCTCCTAAGACCCAAAAGGATCACATCCACTTGGTTTTTTTAGCAGAAAAAAAATTCATATTCAATATTCCAAATATTTGGGTACCACTCCTGAGCCAATCACAAGCTCAAGGATAAATTATCCTACCATAGAAAAGACTTTTCTATCCTACTTCTTCCTCCTGTCTCTGCAGCAGTGGCTCTGCATTTCAACTAAGACGCTCAATTCAGAAATTTAAGCAACATAAGCACATGAACAGCCATTCTCTGACTCCAGTGAGGAATGGTTAGTGGACCACATAGAACTCCTGGAAAGCCAGACTGTAGCTGCAACAAGCATCACTGCTTTCCAAACACTGACTGTGCTATTTTATCAGTTGACCACATGAGCCATAATCCATAAGAAAAGACAAAATCCAGCCACTGCTTTGCTGGTAAAAATATTTTTAGGAACCAAAAGCTCATCTCCTGCTGAAGGCACTATGCTCAGCAGCAGCACAGTTACTATCTCAGGACCACACAAATTGCAACTACGTATACTTACTACTATATAGGAACAGCTCTTCTTCAAAGAAACAATTTAGCAAGCTGTTTCTCTCAGAATTTAAAGAATTGCAGTATTCACCTTAAGCTCTTCTGATCTAACTTTCTTATAGTACATTGGCAACAAAGCTAGGCCTAGATATGAAGACAATATTAATTCCGACAGATCAATTTAAGTTCATGAATGCACTCAAACATTTTTACGTCAACCTGCATGGTGTATATTCCACTGTCTACAAAAAGAAATACTCTGAATCTTTAAAAATTAAAAACCCCTCATTACATAAGAGATTCTAGAGCAGAAACTGTTTAGTCTCAACTCAGTGTTGCTTAAACTCTAGTAATGTTTTAAATCACTGTTAGATTTCATAAGTCATTTCTATCAGAGATCAAAATCAAACTAGCTTAATTATAGGGTGAGAAAAAAATGCATTTTCTTCATAGTAACATTTTCATAACTTCTCATTTTTATTCCTGTACTGTGACAATTTGCCACAGTAGACAAAAAAAGCACTTGGCAAGGACTGTTCTAATCCAAAAAATCTCGGTGTATTTTGTGTTTGAAGCACCTGACACAAGACAGTCCAACCTATCTGTGACTTTTGATTCCTAGGTAGAATGCTCAACTAAAGTATATTAAACAAGTTACCTCTGTGAGGGATCCACAAGGCACTCCACCATGCAGGATCCTATCCAAACTATGAAGTGTGGTGGATAAAAAGGCTGAAGAAGGATTACCAGACTTCCTTAGTTTCATTTCATAAGCCTACAATAGAAGGGAAAAAAAGCAAAAGAAAACAAGCAAATCAGAAAAAGCTTTTATAAATGGAAATAGGAAAATTGTATTTGCTTTCAACAACCTGGTATGACTTAACACTCAACAGTGAGAATATTGTTATATTCAGCTATAGTCAACCCTTAGCTCATCACCCTTCCTTGTATTTATAGTCCATTTATAGCACACAGAGTCATTTTTTTCTCTGCCTCACCACAATATAAAATAATAAGCCCTTAATCATGATGTGACAGAAGCTGTCTCTGCTCCTATTCAACAAGGTTTGTTTTCAACCTGTAAAACTCCCTGATCAATGTTCATTACCAGTTTGCTAGCTTTAAATACATTCAGTAAAAGTCATACTAATTCTTCTATTACCAACTTCATTGCAACACCTTAGTGAATTTAAAGTTTCACAGAACTACTCCTATAATTACTATGCCAATTACATATAATAAACTTGGATATGGATTATTTTTGTATGGAAAGGGGGTTGCATTGACTGAGGTCACAACTGTCTGTATCCTCTCTGTTCTAAAATATATATTTTCATATGAATTCAAAAAGGAAAAGAAAATGCTGCCATTTCATTGTAGCTAACATGTTTCCTTCCTGCATGCTCCCCAGTTAGGCTACTGTAGCCTAAGGCACAGGACAACTCTTACATGGGTGGAAAAAGTCCTTAAGAAATTATTTGCAGCATCATTTAAATTCTTGGCACCACTTTTATATCTAAACCAAATTTATACCAAAATTCTTATTGTTTGCTTTTAGTAACCAAAATTTTTATTTTCTGAGTTTCAGGATACGAACTAGATGCAATTTGCACATGCTGGATTGGCAGAGAATATGACTTATTTCCCTGCAGCACTCAGAACTGATGCTGCAAGAATGAACAATCTTGTGGGGCTATAATACCTAATAAATGTAACTGCATCAACCTAAAGTGCATCAGAGACCTACATTTAAAAATAAAAACATTATGTCATTGTGCAACAAAACTGAGACACCACAAGCCTCCCAGCTAGAAAGATGAGCGACAATGTTCAGATCTTCCCCAGATATTGTATCAAAAAAAAAAAATATCAACACAAGCATACGTACCGTCTGCATTTTGGGAGCACAAGCTCGGCTGACTTTACAAAGAAGTTTCTGCACCTCATAGTAGCTCTGTCCCGTCACTTTCATTAGCTCCAAGAGGGAAAGACATAAGAACTCCTGAAAGATTACAGAGCAATTCAGAGAGCTCAACCTAGAAATCCAGGCTGGGGAATAAACTGATGCAATCTGTCCAAAATTAGTACATATTCCACAGGTTTAGCAACTCTCCCTTCAGATACTTTTACACATTGATGAGGGCTCCTCTGACATCTCTTCTCAAGGCTTAATAGGCCCAGCTTCCCTCAGCCTTTCCTCATAAGAGATGTTTCCATCGCCTCTTAATCTTTGTAGCTCTTTGCTGGACCAGCTCCAGGAGCTCCCTGTCTCTGAGCCCAGAACTGGACACAGCACTCCAGGTCAGGCCTCACAGGGCTGAGTAGAGCCCTTGACCTGCTGCCAATGCTCTTCCTAAGGCAGCCCAAGATCCCATTGGCCTTCTTGGCCACCAGGGCACTGCTGGCTCAGGGACAGTTTGGTGTCCACCAGCACCCCCAGGTCGTTCTCCACAGAGCTGCTTCTGCAACTTCCCTACTTCCACAGGGATAGTAAGTACATAAAAATTTAGATGTTTTAGTTAGGCATCTATCATTTTAAAGCCCTATTTTCACAAGGCAGCAGGCCAGAGTGAGTCTGAAATGCTCCCTACTTTATCGAAAGTAAAGCTCCCTGTTTAATTAAACTGACAAGAAGTGAACTCAACATGCATTAAAAGAATACAGCCACACAGACACCAAAAAAAAACCCAAAACAACAAGAACAAAACAAAAACCACCGAACCAAAACAAAAAAACAAACTAACCCACAAAAAAAACAAACCCATGCCCAAAAAAAAAGCACCAATCCACCAACAAAACTCAAAGCCACCAAACCAAACTGAGCCACAAAAAAAACAGCCCCCACAAAAAAAAATAACTCCTTCACCTGACAGGTAGTGATCTGATAGCGACTCAGCCTTTCACACATTTCCTGAGACAACTGTGCTCTTCTTAGTTTCTTAGCAGCCATGCTTCCAAATCTACAAGGCAGACAAAAAACATGTTTGAAAATTATTTGAATGTGATTGTGTGGACAATTGCACTAACTCCTTGCTAAACAGGGAGGTGTGCACATATACATGTGATACAGATTTCCCATATAAGTCTGTATTGCATTAAATTATATTACCAGTCTGAATGCAGTTTTGCTAAATTACGTATTTGACCGTGTGTGAGTAAGAACAGAAGTGTCAGCAATGTCCATAGGACAGATGTTTCCAGGACATAAGAAAGGTAGAAATTCCAGTCATGAGCTGAACAAGGACTGCTCATGCTATACTGTACTGGCAAGAAATAATTATCTTTGGATGCCTGACCATGAATTGTAGAGCAATCACAGTAAGCATTCAGCTCTAGAATATACACTGCTAGAACACAATACTCAGTTTTGGTGACCCATTGCCATTGAATTCTACTGCACAAAACACCACGGGATGCTGTCCAGCCCAGTAGAGCCCAAAGCACACACATATGTATGCTTGACCATGTCGCCGTTTCACACACACTATTTAGGAAAACATTTCTAGTATTAATTCATACAGGCATTTAAGCAAAACAAAGGTTTTTATAACGTAGTAAGCGCAAATATCGCAAAAGTCTGCCATAACACAAAACTGCTACAATTTTGCAGATGCACAGGCTTCCACATCGTCACAAGACGGAAACTTGATTGCCCCCTCTACAAAATTCTCCTTAAGCAGGAAGGAACCCCGAAGTTACAGGCTCCCTCCGCCGCATCAGCCTGGGACACGTGGATGCGCCTGCAGCCGGACACCGAGCCCGGCCCCTCTCGGGCCCGGCAGCGAAAACCGCGGGCACCAGAACACCCGCTCCGGCCGCAAACCAGCCTCATCCCGCGGCTGGGGGGGTCTCACCCCGCGACTGGAGGGCCTCACCCCGCGGCTGAAGGGGGGAGGTCTCCGGCGGCACACCAGCCCCAGCGGAGTGTCGGGCCGGGCCAGCCCCGCCCGGGAGCGGAGCTGCTCACCACAGAACTGTTCAAAGGCTCCCCGCGGCCGGCGCGAGGGGGCGGGGCCGCCGCTCAAGGCCTGCGCTCCCGCCAATCATCGTGCAGCCCTGACGGCCGCCGGCGCGCGGGGCATGCCGGGAGCGGTAGTTCCCGGGAGAGAGCGCCTGTGATGGCGGTGGCGGTGCCTGGGGTAGTGTCAGCCTGCAGCTGCTCGGTCGGGAGACTGCTCTCCTTTGCCGAGGCTGAGGGCCCGAGGGGGTGTTCGGGGCTCCTTCCGCCCATGAACGTGAGCGGCCTTCCGGAGGCGGGAACCTTTCAAGGCGCTCTTGCGCTGCGGTGTAGAAATTCCTTCTGTCCTCTGCACAAAAGCGTCTCCATAACCCGAAAGTCTCTCTCATGGAAAGTGCCATGCACGCGCTCAGTCCTTAGTAAAGAGTATTGATTAGAATGATGTCCTCGTCTTCATATTTAGGGCTTGCGGACTGCTGCCAGCTGAGAAATGCCCGATAATGTGAATCACAGAATCAATTAGGATGGAAAAGAGCTCTGGGGTCATCGAGCCTATGACCGAACACCCCCTTGTCACACCCTGGCTCTAAGTGCCACCTCCAGTCTTTCCTTAAACAGCTGCAGGGACCGTGACTCCACCACCTCCCTGGGCAGCCCATTCCAATGCTCAGTCACTCTTCCTGCAAAGTAATTCCTCCTAACATCCAACCTAAACTTCCCCTCGTGTAGTTTAACTCTGTGTTCTCTTGTCCTGAATCTATCCTATCTGTCTGAGAGAGGAGGCTGCAGCCTCTTTTCATGTAGTTGTGGAGATAGATAAGGCCCTGAGCCTCCTTTTTGCCAGGCTAAACAACCCCAGCTCCTTCAGCTGTTCCTCACAGAACTCAAGAACTTTCACCAGCTTTGTTGCCCTTCTCTGGACACCCTCCAGCACCTCAATGTACTTCCTGAACTGAGGGGTTCAGAACTAGACCCGGTACTCGAGATGTAGTTTCACCAGTGTCAAATACAGGAGAAGAATAATTTCCCTAGTCCTGCTGGCCACACTGTTCCTGATACAGGGAATTTCTGAATGCAACAGGGAGATGCAATCATCAAACATGAATGACATGAATGTCTATGGGGGTGAGTTTTCCACCTCACTCTAGGTGATACTAGAAAGTATTGAACTTAGTAGTGTGTATAAGTTATCTGCATAATCCTTACAGTACTAAAAAATATCCCAACTGAAGAAAAAAGGTGCCAATCTACCTTGGCCATTTAACTGAGAAACTGCGCATTGGGAACTGAATGGCTGGGCTTTTGTCTGTCCTGGTAAACAAATGCTGCAGCAAAGCTGCAAACTACAGAACACTTCAGCCACTCTTCCAAATGAGTGAACAGCAGAAGCAGCAAGAAGCTATCATAAAATGCCCAGCAACCATAGTGTCAAAAAGGGTCAGGGAATTAATGTTTCTTTCATAGCTTGAAGGGAGCTTACGTGCTCAAAGAACTCCAGAGGATTTAAGAAGCCGGACAGGGAGTAAGCAGCCCATAGGAAAGCAACTCAGAGGTGTAGTGAAAAGGTAGTGAACAGGGAGAGATGGCATGGAGGAAGAGCTCCTCCTAGTGTAGTCAGCCTTTAGAAGTTGACTTGAACAATGCGAGTCACATTTGAGAAAAGCTGACTAAGGAAAGGGAAAGATGTCTGTTGCTGCAGTTTAGTTTCAATGTAAAAAGGAGGACATGACCATAGTATAACTTGTCATGAACTACTGTTTCCTCCTCACTACAGCGGTAGCAGAAGCCCTACCTTCCCACGAGAAGAAAGGGGAGCATTACTTTGATGACTTTTCTTTCCTCCCACAAATGCATCAGGGCTTTCCCTTCACCTCCAGGACAACAAGCTTCCTTTCCACTTTCTACACAAACAAAATACTTGTGTTGAACCAGAGAACTGTTTTGGGACATTGAGCAGGGGAAGAAAATCTTACCAGCCAACTACTTTAGAAAATTTATGAGCAAAATCAATATAGCCAGGTGCCTCTCCTGCAAGTTATTTGAATCTCATTTCTCAGATGTGTCATGACTGTTCCCCAGTCTGCTTCTCAGATATGCAGATATACCTTTAAACCTACGGTCAAATAATTGTGCATCATCTTCTTCATGTAACTCAAGGAAGGGGGAGAACATTCAGAGGACAACCAGAAATGTGTTCACATATGCTTAGTCGCTGTCAACGTTCTCAAGCAGCAACACAGCACCACAGCTTCCGTATGTTTGACTAGGACAGTAGTCACTAGGGAATCAGGGCACTCTGCAAAAAGCTCTGCTCTGTGACCTTGGTCACGCCCCTTGACAGCAGGGTGTCGGTTTTCCATCTTGGCTTTGTTTTTGCCTATTTAGTCTGCAAACAGTGGAAGTAGTGCCAGTCCAGTAGATTAATGTGTCAGACATGAGCAGAGAACTGTGCTAGTCTAAGCCTTTTGCTGCTTCTGGAACGTATAAGGAGAAAGGATAAATAAAGCTAAGAGATGAATATAAGAAATGGGTTTCACCGCATTAACATAAGGGGGTCATTTAAAAGTGGCAACACTGGAGGAAGAGTCACAGAAAGGCAGAAGTATAACAGCAACAACAAATGAGGTCTCACAGAATCAAAAGGATCTAACATCAAGCACACCAATTAAAATAAAAAAGGGAATGATGATTAGCTGTCTAAGAGGCAAGCAGAAAGGAATAGAATCTGATTTGAAGGACACGACGAAATACTTATCAGTTCTTACCCAAATAAATACTCAGTAGTTAATATGTCTCTAAGTCCCTAGAATTGAAAAGATAATGGTAAAATGTTTCCTTTCTGGAACAGATTCCACAGAAAAGTTTCTTCTTCAAACCCAAGACAGCCTTTTATGAGTATTTTTAGATAATAGTTTGCATTCTGGAACATTTCAGATTATTCATATAATTACTAACACAGTGTCAGCTCACTGATACTGACTACAATCCTCAGGTTTATTACTATTTTCCAACTATCAATTCTTGCCTCAAAATTAGTAGTGTTACCCCTACTCCTGTGAAAATGTGTCCCCAAAAGAGTCTGCTCCAGGAGAATACAGCAACTATTCTGACTCACAAGGGTAATCCAGATACTCAGAGCAATTCCCCACCTTATGCTTGCTGACTAATGTCTAATTAGTCTAATATACTCTTATTCCTTGGGGTTACCTACTTGATGCCTACCACATTCTTTAATAGAAAGAAATTACCTGTGAGCTCTGGAGACTGCAAAACAGTTATAGAACAGCACATGCTTTCCTGGGATTAAGGTCCCAAGAGGTTGCTCAATAACAGTACACAAAGGAACCTCCAATGACTTATCCTGTCTGTGTCTGTCTCCCCAAAGGAGTTGGAGATTTACTTCCAATCCTTTGAGGTTTCCCCATCTCAAAAAAAAAAGAAATTTGAAAGATCTCATAAGGAGACCTGCACCCTGGTTGAAAATACTTTCATGCTGTCCACACCAGCACAGCTTTAGCAAAGCTACTTCAACTTGAGATTTTGCCAGATGCATCTGCTCCAGGGATGGGGTGGAGGGAAAGGAAACTACCTTTCCATTGTTTCTAGAACCGGCTCAGCACTGTTCCCATTGGCTATAATAAATCAAGAACACACCTGTGAAGAAAAACCCCATCTTTTAATTTTGACTTATTCTTCCCCCCATGCCCCAGTCATTTGAACTGTCTGTGGACCAGATAAATGCTTCTCCCCAAGCAATTAACCTTTTTTCTCCTGCTCAGGAAGGATTAAATCCACTTAATAATGAATCTTCCTCAGGTATTAGTGAAGACCTGTCTGACCATACACCTTTACACGCAGGAAAAAGATTTTTTTTTTCTCAATACAGGCAGAAGGTATCTCTCTGTTTTCCACCTATTCACACATGCTGCTGTGAATCCAGAATTATCCATAACCTCCAAAACTATTTCAGAAAAATTCAGCAGCAATGTAGA